ATTCTGGGAGGGACCTGTCCAGTTAATCACCAACTGAGAGGCAGTGTGAAGGATCACTGGGCGGTTGCCATTTCCTCGTCTTTTTTTTTTTAATTTTAGTTTACCTGTAGTTGGATCAGAAGTCACGCAATCTGCAGCACAGAGGATGTTCCCCAAATGAGTAAAACCGGTTGAAATGTTTGGCAGGAATTCTGCGCATGACTTTGCATACACCAGACTGCGGGACATGTACTGTACGTGGCAAACTTAAATTTATGGGGGAAATGACTCCTGCAGTGCCTTTATGTACTGTACATGTACGGTAGGATGAATTGAAGGATTGGAAATAAAAATGTACAGGTGGTGAGCCATCCCTCCAGAATTTGGCCAAAAATGAGCTGATCATATCTGGGACATTCATTTAAATTCTACCCGTGCATGTTTTGAGTACACTGGGACTTACCCCTGTGAAAATGACCGGAGAAAAGTGTTAAAAGAATTCCCATTCACATTCAAATCAAATTTCCCACTTGTGAAATAAACCTGTAAAATGTTTTCCCACGTTTTAGGTGAAAATCTTTCCCACTTGTGATAAAAAAAGCTGTACATGGCAAATTTTCCTATTGGTGTAAAAAGATGTGAAAACTATTCCACTTGTTAAAAAAGTTGTGAATTTCCTTTTTTCACAGACAGACAGACAGACAGACAGAGGGGAAGAAAAGTCAGAAAATCATGTATTTCCCACTAGAGGAACAATTTTCACCATTTGCAAAATGAATAATCATTTTCCCGGATGGGAAAAGTGTGATGATTTTCTCCTTTTGAGGTTAGACTTACAGTACATGTACATGTACATGTATGAGCCTTTTGCAAGGTACATGTAAATTTGAATAAAATTTAGTACACCGAGTTCTTTAAATTCACGTGAACATAACAATTTCAATCGTCCATACTAAAGACACTGTTGCTGTACTGTACCTCGTGATTTGGGGTAAGCTTTTCCTTATAATAGTTAAATGTACATTATACAGTGTACATGTATAAGAGATTCCTTGCCTCAATTCACTGTACATGAACATGTACTGACACATGTTGCATACATGTGTACATGTACATGTAGGCCTACAGCAGGTGGATGTGGTCCCGTCAATCACAGCTGCAAGTTTTATCACAAAGTGACTTGTCAAATGGTCTGTCTTAAGCCAAGTTACAGATTGTTGAAATACATGTACATGTTCGTGTACATCAATCGATACGTGGTTGTCGGTTCCATCGCCTAGTCTGGGGAATGTTGGAACAATGCCAGCAGTGAGCAGTGACTCAGTAACCCGATACTCCCATTGATGACCTGGCTTGCATCTTGGTGGAGGAGATCAAGCTCATCAAGCGCTCAGAGTACCAATACGGTGTACCGGGTAGATAATGCCATGTATGTGTACATGTATGCTGGCGAATTAAGCGCAATAGAGGTTGTGCACTGCGGCCATCTTGGCAGTCATTGCTTCAGTTACACACACAGGGGATATGCACAAAAGGTCTGCTCTTGTGTGATCCTAGTGATCAAAAACAGGGGAAGATGGCCACTGTGCCAATAACCTCTTTGGCCTTGTCACGAAAGAACGGCTCCATGTGTATGGTATACCGGTACGTGTACTTGTACTTTACAATGTTGAAAGATGAAAAAGCCAGCCTTATCCTTGCCTTTGACTAGTAAGGTTTTAGGCCTGTCAATCCTCAAGCAAGCACCGGTAATTACTGGTATACATGTATGTGTAACAAAATTCCCAACAGTTTGGCCAATGCTGTTTAACCTGCTGACCCATGCAAACATGTTTCTGTAGCTTTTTTTGTTCATGGTTGAGAATTGGCCCACATGCACACAAATCACAGTACATGTTCGTGTACAAACCGCCCAGCAGAAATTGTTCTGTATTCATTTCATCGGCAGTATTCTCCGCCCACAATTTTCATGACGTGAATCGGCTGCATATACCGGTACATGTACGTATCAGTAGTATCATTTTGCATTATTCACTGTTACACATACCTTGATGCCTCTGTACAGCACATTTTGAGGGGATGCTGCACGGGTACCGGTCCGTGTGAATGTCGTAATGTGATGAAAGAAACTCCAATCCCGCCGCGCCTCTGTGGCATATCACGCTAACGGAAATACCATAGTGATTTGGGAGGAAATGAAAGTTGTTTGCAAACATTTGTTATCGGGTTACACAGGAAACGATTTACCGGTACCATCTGTTGCCACCACAACCATACCTAGGGAAGTTGGTAAACAGTTGTTTTTCCAAGGTACTGTACACTGTACATTGTATATTTACATGTACAGTGTAGGTACAGTACTAGTACATGTACTTGTATGTGTACATGTAATGTACACGGGTCTTTATTTTAATATGGGGGCCAATGTGCATTTCAGGGACATCACAATTATCGTGACCATTTGAAACAAGACCTGTTTCACTTTCCCTTTTAATTTTCATATGTACATGTATTTGTCAATTAATATGTGTTGCTTACATTCAATTTATTTACTTAAAAAAATGATGATTTACACAATAGTTGCAAGGGAAAAACCTCATTGTTTCTCACTGTTGTTTGGTATTTAGTGTGACATTTTTGGTGACCTGTTTCACACCTCTGGCAAACAAATAAATCTTTTCTTTTCTAACTAACCTACATGTATCAACAGAAATGTAAATTATGATATTGGATAGATCTCCAAATAAAATTCATTTTAATTGAGAATACAGGTGCCGTCATAATCTGATATAACAACGTAACATTTTATTCCTCCAGTTGTTACGAAGTGAGAATCATTTTTGGCTGTTAAAAACAGACAAAAAGCTGTTGCAAATCATTTCAAAAACCTAAAATATTAACTCTGAGTACCCCCCCAAATATCTCCTACTAACTTGTGTCTGAGATCCCAAACGTTTCTGAAGATATCCCTGTCAATTCTTGTCAAAAAATGTTTTGGTTACTTGCAAAATCCTTACGTTGTAAACAAAAAAATTGTCCAACGTTCGCCCAAGTTGGGATCATATTGCAAGCCTGCATGCACTGTCACATGATCATCACATGACACAAACATACCAAGTTCCCACCATTTTTTCATCGTCAAGAAATTTCGATCGAAGTTTTCGTTACTCGCACATTATGCTGTGACAAAAAGTTACGGGATGCAGGTTTCTTCGCAAGACATGAAGGTAAAATTTACCAGAAACTCAACGTATACAGGAGCACGATAGCCACTTAAAACTCACAAATGAAAATGAGCGTAATGGAAGAAACGAAACATTTTTCCCCTTCCAATCGGAAATGCTTGTCGTCGAGCTGGAAGTCGCCATTTTTCATTTTGCGAATTTACCTGTATGCTAATGTCCGTTAACGATGTCATGACCCACCGGCCTAGCGATCCATTCACAGCGTGATGTGTCAAGTCAGTACACGTGTGCTGGCGACTTTCTTGTGAGCGGCGGAACGTTCAGTGGCAGTGACCACATGGGAAACAGTGCAATGCACATTGCACCTCTGAGGAAACAATCACCGGCGCGCATGTGCTACGCTGGCCGACTTGGCATGCTGGTGCTATTTTGTGAATGGTCCGCTAGGCTGGCCTGCTGTGACGTCATCAACAACATTAGCATACAGCTCAAATCACAAAATTGGACGGGATTTTGTTGAACTTTTTGGCATAAATGCTTCGTGACATCAAACTTTCTTTGCATTCCACTTGAATGAAAATGTGAGCCGGCATCTAAGGACACGTATCTCTGCAACTCTGAATTCCTTGAAATTTTCTTCATTATCCAGTAAAGAAAGAAGTTATGTTTTTAACTTTCAAGTAGGCCAGTGGGTGCACAACAAGTTTGACAGTCCAACCTCATTAATAACAGCACTTTGAATACAAGATTCTCCTTTAACAAGAATTCTTTTTTCAAGCCCCAATCCTTAGTTTTTTTACATTTTCATTGTAAAAGGTTTTGATTTTTATTCATGTTGAACCCAAATGTTGAACCCACTGCAATATGTGCAATGTTTGGTGACAATTGTAATGCTTTATGACATCAAAATTGCTTTGCATTAATTCCCATTCATTGGAAATATGGACAGGTTTTAGAGCATCCCTAATTTGAGATCACTATTCATTGACTGCAGACACGAAATGTTGCCATTGTTACAACAAAATCTAATGCAGTGTAAATTAATGTTTGTAATGTTACAGTTTTCCCATGTGTAACAGAGAAACCAGTTTCTCTGTTACACGTGAAATGAATCATAACGCTCTTTAAACTAAAAACTTCAAAACACTTAATGTCTCTGGCAAAGGTGCACAAGCTATATACCAGTATTTGCTATTAAGCAACTCTGTGTTAAACCAAGCAAAACTTTCCAAAATAATTAAAAGAATAGCCAAAAAGTGAATTTTTTGGGAAAATGTTTGCCCATTTTTATGCCGCCTGAAGCCCTTTCTAGAAAAGCAACGAGTGATGAGAAAATATGGCATGTACACAAAACAAAATTGGCAACAGTTGAAAAGAAACCTTTACTAACCAAAAATGACATGCATAGAACCATCATAGTTTCTCTGTTACACGTTAAATAATTTCCTGCACCACTGCACAAATTGAGTCTGTAGTTATTCAAAGCAAAACTCATTTCCATTTATTGCATGTATGCATTATTAGTTACATATCAACAAGTTTTGAATTTGTTTAGACAATTTTGAAATTTTGACCACCACGTCACACATTTGGCCCCCTATTTAAAATAAAGACCCACATGTGTACGTACTTACGGACAGTATTTTACAGGGTTGGGAAATGTATTGGCAAATCATGCACAATTTGTCATTTCTTTGTGGATGATTTTATCAGTGTATTTAGTGATATTACTGAGAAAAAGAATTGCAGTTTAAAAAACCTGCATAACTGGTACTAGCATTTCATCAGTATGATTTGATACTTTTTGATATTTTTTTATCTTGTTTTTGTTGACAGAAGGAACATCCTGTGAGGTGGTAATTTTTGTCTGTCAACGTCCAAGCAGTCCCGATGGCGTCCTGCTTGTGATCCTTGATCCACCCAAGTGAATTATGGGTATTATCGGCCTCTGCATTCATAGCAAGAGCAGCAGAGATAGCATGGAGATGCAAGTGGCACCCCTTTGTCAGGGCTGTATTCCGTTGTTTCTCTACACACGGGCGCTGCACGGCCAGCCGCCATTCCAGGTGCCCCACCGTGAGGGCCTGACCGCCGAGGCGCTGTGCTGGCAGGCCTCCCGGGAGTGCAGCGTGCCCCGCCTCAATGCCAACCTCTTCGCAATCTACGACCAGGCCCAGGGAATTTGGCTGTCGCCCGCGACCAAAGTCAAGCCCACGGACCGGCAGCTGGTCTTCCGCATACGGTTCCACATGCCCCGCTCGCCTAGCAACATCACCTCCCTGGAAGAGAGCGTAGTGGCCTATCTGTTCGCGCAGTACCGCCACGACTACTTACATAACCGGATTCCCAACATCTCGATGGAGGAGTCACTAGGACTAATGGTTTTAGACATGGTGCGATACGCCTACGAGAATCATCACAGTGTTGAGCGTTGTCTACGGGATAATCTCTTTAAAAAGTTCCTCCCAAAGTCGCTGTCAAAAGAGTTGAAGGTCTTGGACACTTGGAAGTTGAAAAAGAAAGTAAGGCAGACTTTCCAATTTTTGGGTACATGCACCTGTACATGTACATGTACACGTGGACATGTACACGCACGTGTACATTTTCATGTGTACATGTACGTGCTGTGTATGAACATGTGCATGTACTCTTCAGAAGATAAAAATTGTACATGCGTACACATGTACCGGTACAATGCACAATACAGTACAGGTCAGAATTGTAGCTGACAAGATAACGCGATCAGTGAACCTGACACGCTGTTCAACACACGCTTTGCAGTTTTTATTGTGCATTGCTGGTCCAATGCATGATAAGCCTGACCCCGGACCTCATTATCTCGGCGGGGCTTGTGACCGCAGACCGCAAAGTTGACCGATAACGTGTAGTGAAGCACTGCACATTCAGGGCCGTTGTTCCAGCTTCGCGTACATTTTATGCGTGTACGTCGTACAATGTACATGTACAGTTTCTACATTGTATGGCAGTGTGCTGAGTAAGTGAAATCATGTACATGAATGTGCATTGCCTAGCTGGCAAGATGACCGTCTTGAAGTATCAAAATATGTATCACTATCACAGCCGTTTTCTTTTGGTTTTGGATCACGAAAGTTGTTCGGTCGGATTACATCTGGAAAATGTCAAATTTCAGTGGAAATGGCCAGTAGTCCACTGTAGCAAAACTTTTTCCCAAATGTAAACTGCTGCTCTTCTTGCTGGTTCTAAGGCTCGATTGGTTTTAAACAATTCCCTATTGCGCGAAAAGTTTTTCACAAATAAACAGTACCCATGAAAGAAATCCCTCCCTCTGTCAGAACTATTATAACAAGCTGATTTTACAATGAACAGATGAAGTACAGTATCTCTTATTTTATGGACATTTAGTTCCTGTATCAGAATTCCAGTAAATTACAAAACACCCACTGAACTTGCGCAAATTTTAACTTGACTTTTTCATTTGCTGCCACGTGCAGAGACCATGCCACTACCAAGCAATCACGACACTACAACCACTCCAGCGCTTTCATCCCAACCACCAATCATAAATTGAAATGAGTGTATTGCATATTCATTTTGATACAGCGCCAACAAATGCAAAGCTACAGCCCTTACACATCACATGATATGCTACGGCCCTTGTACGTCAGGCTACATGCAAATTTATGAAGTACATGTACATGCATATTTATGAAGTTCACATGGGCGCTACTTTGTTTCGTGCAGCCTGTGCGTGCACGTCGCTAGTGCTAGCGCTAATGCAGACCCGACTTCCTTTCATTTTGGTACGATCTTTGCCGTTAAGTTCGGTTTTTTTATTTTGGTAGGTTTGCCAGGTCAAAGGTTGAAATCTGATGGGAAGAATCCCCACCTGACATCGAATTTATATTCACGCGATTTTGAACACACTCAGCTCAAGTGTGCATGCTGGGAGTGCTGCCATGGGGGCCATCTTGACTAAAATTTGGCTAGCGGACCGACGAGGTCAAACCCCATTTATACTTTGTGGATTTCTTACAAAATAGTTTTCCCTAATTTAATGTAGGAATGTTTTGTCATAAAACTGTTAATTACATGTGAGTCGTCTTAGGTGAAAAATTGATTCCACGCTCGAAAATGTTCTGCGCCTGATTCAGAAGTTTTGGGAGCAATTCAGACATAAACCAAAAGTGTGTCCTGCAAGGCTTTTTCATTGATTCTGTGTTGACAAACAAAATGCTTAATATGTATCTTCAAAAATGATTTTGTGAGGCCTGCTGCAAGGTACATGTAAACTACTGACAACATTTCCTTGGAATTTGAAGATACATGTAACTTGAGCTGCAGTCAACACTTTTCATTGCAGGAAACTAAAAAAATGACTGCTCTGGTCAACAAAGGCCTGGTTGTTCTGGGGTTTGCATGCAGCAGAGTGCACGTTTATACTCAGCAGATTGGATTGCAGTGTTGGCAGTCTCTGTTAATGCAGGGTCAGCTTGGTTCGTTTTTGTGGTTAACTCCTTTCCTGTCTGTTTGACTCGATGCACGCTAAGCATGTTTGTGTGTTTGTGTGTCGGCTAAAATTCTGACCTGTACTGTATAATTTTGCTGTCCATAATAAAAATGGTAACAGGGTTTTATACACATTATATACATGTACATGTAGCGCTTTTAACTATGATTAACGTGCGTGCCATTATAATTATTCTGTTATTATTATCCTAACTCATTGGGCCCATGAAACATTCCAAATACATGTACCATCGCAGCTCCCTTGGGAGTATACAGCTCCATGCGGCTACTGGTATATTGTATTTCAACATTGCACAATAACCATCACCGCACCATCTCAGAGATGCCCAG